CCAAACAAAGTTTGAAGAGGAGAATCAATATCAACGAAGCCAGTGTCAACAACACACCCCTAGACGAGCCATACGATACAGCAACAGATGATGAGATAGATGATGAGCCACGCCACATCTATTTTTCAGGTCATGAACAAGGACCAGAAGCTTACCTACAGTGGGAGAGCGAAATGGAGTATATGATGAGGTCACAGAACATTCCTAAAGAGCAGAGACTTTCATACGCACTTGACTCACTTGTTGGAGAAGCTACTACATGGTGGGAACAAGAGGAAGTTGTGGCCAATTAAAATAATTCTACCATCACTTGGGGTTATCTCAAGCAGCGTATGTACAGAGAGTTTGTACAGAAGTCCCACAACCGCAGCTACTTTCCCAAGAGGCTAATGCTACAGACAGCTACAAGGAGGTGTGCTAGTTGGGTGTGCGAGATGGTCAGAGCTAGGTCCCATCTCGCACATAGACTTGCATTTCTGACCGAGATGGTTTTGCGGATCAGCTCATGAGCAAGCTATGTCGCACACTAGGATTTTGAAGAGGCTGGTATGTGCGACTTGGGTGTGCTAGACAGGAAGAGACAAGTCCCAAGTAGCACACATACTCGTAATTCAGACCTACATGGGTGTGCGAGTCAGTTTTCCAGGAACCATGTTGCACACATGTTCATTTGGTGCTGCTACACGGCTGTGTGAGATGGTTAAGTAAAGGACCAAGTAGCACACTTGTTTGCAATTCACAGCTACTTGGGTGTGCGGGTTGGTGTCTTCTAGGACCATGTCGCAGCAACAAAGGAAGGCCAGAACTTCCAGAAGCTTTATGTGCGACTTGGGTGTGCGAGATAGGAAGGAGAGCAGACCATGTCGCATAGCTGAAAAGTGCCAAGGTTTATGTGCGACTTGGGTGTGCGAGTTGGTCCAAGACAAGTCCATGTCGCACAAAGGAGTACAAGCCAAGCCAAATCCATCTCCAGTGATGTCTAGCCTCATCTGGTGCAGATACTCACTCCCTCTTTCCATAAAAAGCACACCAGGTATCACTCCAAACACTTGTAAATGAGCACTTAGTATTTTTCTTTATCATATGCATTTCATGTTTGATTTTTCCTCTTTCTCATGCTTTATAACACAGGGGAGTGTGTTATTTAAGTGTGGGAGAGGGATTTTGTGTTTACTAATCATGTTTTCTCTTGTTCTTATTTTGATTTGTATCTTGAGTCTGCATCTAAGTGCATAGAAAAAAACCAAAAAAAAATTGAAAAATCTGAAAAAATGTTCATTTTAGTTGCATTCACATTTTTAGGATTGAGTCTAGTTGCATAATCATATAGGTTGCATCACTTGCATGAGAGTAATGATAGGTTTCTTTGAGAGAGAATCATCTTAAGAACTTGAATTCATGGCCCTTGTTATTAATTCTCTATTGCTTGCAAAACTGGTATGAAATCAAGACTGAACCATGCTTGGGACTAGTGTCTCAATAATTATGTGTTAGTTGGATCAAGTTGTGATTAACTCCAGCCTTGTTTAAAGTGAAAACCATAACTTGACAATCTAATTATCATGTTTGTGCATGTCATTGTGAACTCATGGGTACCATAAAATATTTGAGCTCTCTTATCCCTTTTTACCACTCTTTGCTCGCTCAAATAGCTGTTCTCTCATTATGAGACAGTTCCCTGCCTTGAACCAAACCTTCCTTGAAGCCTGAAACACGTTAGTGAGAGATGATGTGAGGCCTTTTTCTGAATAAACTTGACAGAAAGTGTTGGGTTTAGGGCGACAAGAGTAGAGTTTCATGTAGATCTAGCTCTGCATTATGAATCTAGAGTAGGCTAGGATATGATCTTGAGAAACACTGAGTGGAAAAGAGAGAGAGAGAGTTTGAGATGAGAACCAGGGGATAGAAAAGAAAAGAAATCGGTTTGGGGTCTGTTGTTTAAAGAAAGAAAGCTATTGTGTTTTGAAAAGAAAAGGTCTAGCCTCTAAGTGAAAATAAAAGAAAAGAAGCCAAAAAGGCTTAAGTGTTTAAAGAGAAAAAAGAGGCTAGACAATGCTATGTGAGAAAGAGCTAAGTGAAGGTTTAGACCCCAAAGACCAACCTGGGGCATTGGGTAGATGGGATTTTACTCTTGTATGCATCAGTTACCTTTTACCCTTAGCCTTCTGTTAAAGTTTATTCCTTCTTGAGTGATCCCTTGAGCTGCATTGAACCCATAAGCTTTGAATGAGATCATCTTTGTCTCATAACCTCATCCCTAAACCAAATGAGCTCACATGATTTGCATGAGCATGATCCTCATGATACTTAAATGAATGTCAAAGGGCTGGAGTTAGGAATTCTTGTGAAAGTTGACACTTGAGTTTAGTTCACTTAGTGATGAGCATGGCTAGTTTTATGAGTACACCAGTTTGTATTGAAATTTAGAATTAGTATCTAGGATCATGAGTTGAACTCTTTTGATGATTACTCTCTCTTTAAGAAATGTGAACTCCCAAACTCATACATTGATATATTCATAAATTGCATCATTTAGTGTACATATTGTCCAAATCATGTCTCATTTGCATATATCTTAGGTCTTTAGACATTGTTTTAGGACTTAGCAGATTTGCAATAGGTCTAAGAGAGTTTTGCATGGTTTGGAGTGTTAAACAGGTGCTTATGGAGCTTATTTGGATTGGAAAATGTGAACCAGATGAAGAAATGGAGTTGAAATGATCAAAAATGGTGTAGAGGAGCAATTTAGAGGTTCTCGGCAAAATGCTGTACTGATGGTCGAAGATTCTCGGCTAAAATCCATTATGCGGATAGATCTCTCGGCCAAAGCATGTAATGCTGTTTAAGTTTATCGGCCTAAAATATCGGGTGCAGGTACATCTCAGAAATTATGTTACCGGAAGGTCTTGCCGGCCGATTCAGTCTCTGGGGTCCACAGCAAAAATCAAAATAATTGAGTCTAGATTCCAAAACATTTAGACACAATACATTTGGAGCAGCGAGTTGAAAGATACGGCCACAGGAAGACAGACCTGTCTCACATCCATTCTGGAGCAATCTGATACGTCTGAAAGATTGCTTGTCCGGGGAGCCTTGGCGTCCAATTCAGCTGCCGGCGTCTTCATGAAAATTTGAGAAGATTGAGTCGTGGTTTCAGAACAGTTCTAATTAGTGGATTCAGATAAGTAAGCTAAGAGTTATAGCCATCAGAAGACATGCCTGTCTCGCTTGCATTCCAGACCAACTCGATGTGCTTCAATGATTACGCAGGATGATGCTCTTCCTCTCCGATTCTCGGGGCCTTCATCAAGATTCAAGAGCATTGAGTCTTCTTTACAGAACACTTGAGATCACACGATTTGGAGTTCGGATCTGGGAGATAACGTTTCCGGAAAGAACACGGTTTTAGAAGCCTTCTCAGGATCGTTCCGGTTTACTGTTAAAGATCGGCCGTCCGGGAACCCTTCCATTCCCCGGATGCACTTGCACTCTTCATGAACATTCTATATAATTGAGCTGCCTTGCGACTGGAGTTCGAATCAAGCCATGTGGACCAGTATTCCAGGAGTTATGCTGCATCAAACGCGGAGTGGTCCGAGAAAATAAGGAATGCTGCGACTTGGGTGTGCGACTTGGTAAACTCGCACCCATGAATGTTCATACTCTGGAAGCAAGCTGAAACTTTAGAGATGTGTGTAAGCAGAATCTGAGCAGGGTAGAGGCTTCCAGAATAAAATTTGGGTAAGTTTAAAAAGTTGTCCGACTTGGGTGTGCGAGCTGGACATGAAGTGGAACAATCTAGCACATGTGATCGCAGATGAGACCGACTTGGGCGTGCGAATTGGGAAAGGGAGTGACCATCTCGCACATCAGGCACAAGACCCAACTGAGCCGGGTCAGTACTCAGTTTGTCCTGGGCTGACCCGGCCCAAAACCCTTGCTATATATAGTTATTTGGGAAAAACTCTTAGACATCTTTGATCTCTCTTTGTTTGCTTTTCCCCTTTTGTCAAAAACGAGTTAGTTAAGAGATATCTGAATGATTTAATCAATCAAAAGATGTTTCTTATCATCTCCTCTTCTTATCTTTTCTTCTAATCATGATTAACATCACCTCTTGCAAATGATTAGCTGTGTTAATCATGATTAGTGAGTAGTCATCTTTTAAGCTTCTAGGTGTGTAGATTAGGATGTTTAGATGTTTGATTTATGATGTTTAGGTTCTAGATTCTCATTTCCTATCCTTAGTTAGCTGCTCTTAATGCTAGATCTCTCATTATAAGCTTGATCTGGACCTTAGGCATTTTCTCCACCCACAATGTGTTTGATGAAATGCCTGAAAGAGCTAAGCTAAGAGTTTATGCCTTTTTCATCATGAGAGTGATAGTTAAATGCATAAATGACATATTAGAACTGTTTCTTAATTCTCATTGATTAATATTTCACAAATGAGAATTTGGTTTGAAAGTGGATTAGTGTAGAGATCAACGCCTTCATGAGAGGATTAGTCTAGTTTAGAGTTCTAAGTTAATTGGATTTGAGATCATGTGATTGCTTGCTATATATTTCTGAGTAAGATTCAGTCTATCTTAGATCTTATTTTGATGCACAAAGAGGCTGTCTGGTCATCTTATTTTGATGGATTTTCTTGATATATGCTATCATCTTCATATCTTCCATTTTCATCATTTCCTGCCGCAGTATCACAGTCATATATATTCTTATTTTGAGATTTAAGAAGTTGACTAACCATGCTTTTTAGCTCAGAAATCTCCCTTGACTCATGACTAATGATAGTCTTCTTTGATCTGTCATACTCAGGATTGTTGTTGTTGGCTACAGCCAAATTTTCGATGAGTGCTATCCCTTGTGGTATAGTTTTCAAACTGAAATCTCCATTGCTGGCAGTATAAAGAGAAATTTGGTACTTCTGCTGAAGTCCTCTATAGAAGGTGCTTAGCAGGTTTGCTCCATAGAAACCATGATGAGGGCAGTCTCTCTCATACTCTTTAAATCGCTCCCAAGCTTCATAAAATGATTCTATTAGGTGTTTCTCAGCTGGTTCGATCTTGACTGGGTGTAGAAGTGGTTCAGGAAAGCCGACTTGCATTCTTCCCATGAAGTAATAGAACCAGATGGTATAGATTTTAACCATCTAAAAGCTTTATCACTTAGAGAGAAATGGAAAAGGTTACACTTCACATAGTCCACAGTGTCTGGAGTGGTTCTCACCATCCCACATATTTCATCAAAAAGATCAATGTGGTCCATTGGATGCTCAGTAGAGATTCCATGGAACTGATTTTGCTTTACCAAAAAGACAATCTGAGGTTTTATCTTGTGATCTTTCCTCTTGCTGGGGCATGAACTTGAATAGCTGATCTATTTAGAAAGTGTTTGTGAGGTGCATCGAAATCGACAATAACTCTATTGCGGGCCTGTCTTTGCGCAGGATTGGCAAGTTATATGGGTCGATTGGACTCTCTACCATTTGGTGGAACAATGTTTTCACCATTCCTTCTTTCTCCTTCATCGTCCCGATCTCGTCTCCTTTGATCATCAGCGGCTTGAGCAGCATTTCTAGGGATTTAATTTCCCTCTTCATCGAGTTGTGGGTGGCCATATGCTTCATGGGCAGCATCTCGATAATCATCGTGAATAGAATCCCGGTCATTGTCTCCAATGTGATCATCTTGATCACGGTTTAAAAGATCTTTCCAATGAGCATTCGGATTGGCCATCTTGAGCGTCCTTTGTCAGAGTTTTCGAAGTTCTCGTTCGTGTTTGTTGATCTCGTCTCAGGGCGGTACAATGTTGGCAGGATTTCTCCTAGTTTTCATGCACCTGAGAGCAAAGAAAGCAAAGATAAAAAAGAGAAGTTAGAAAATTTTCCAGCAGAACTCGAAAATCTTGTGGTCTAAATTTGAAATTAAATTAAGAAATCAAGTCAACAGCGACAAATCCCCGGCAACGGCGTCAAAAACTTGATGTGGGTGCAGTGGGAAACACAAGTTTTACCCTAGACAAGCTCCAAATGCACAGCAAACACAGTAGTACTTAGGGATCGAATCCACAAAGATTTGAATGTTGAGGACTTCTAACTGATGCTAAAAAACAAATCGTAGACCTAATTTGAATAGAAAGGGGTTTTGGTTTGTCACTAAATCTAATTAAACAGAGAATTAAAAAGCTTGAAATAAAAATCAGTTGAAAACTATATGAAAATTGGCGCTGAGATTTGGGTTTATCCTTAGGGTTCATGTTTTCAAACACAAGGAATTTAGGCAATGATTTTTTATGACTCTGAAACTAGGATAGACACTTGTAAGATTAGCCAACTCTCGTCACCCTAATCATCTAATCATTTATTCTTGGCAATTAACTCTCGCTCTCATGCCAGAACAAGATCATGCATTTCAGATCGGAATCCATCTCGACTTATGTATCCTCCTTAGGTAGATTTCGTCTCATACGATGGTGACGTTGATAAGATCTAGTTCAGGCAACCCAAATACAACACTCTCGTGGCTCGGATTTAACCTAGGATCGGACTCTGGGTGATCAATCCAGAGTTACCGCTTTGAGATTTAGATGAATGGGAGAATCATACAAAAATCGAAATCGTTTTTCCTAAAAACCTAGATGTTAGTCGATCATGGGATCCCTTTGGATTGTCCGTTCACCCAACTCGGTGACTCAGACATGGCTGAGTTAGACATCATCATCGGTATAAGAACTAGAAATCCAAAAAGTAAATAAACAAAACTTTCAGAAATCTTCTCTTATTGAAGACACAGTATAGCAATGAAATAATTCTACAGATGCATAAAAATAAAACCTAAAACTACAAATGAGTTCTCTCTCAAAGAGAAGAAAGAGGCTCCCTTACAAAAGACTTAAAAATGAGTATTTTTAGTGTTTCTTCATGTCTGGGCGTCTAGGACTTGTAAAATGGGTGCAGGAAGTGTCTTGGGCCTAAGTCGGGCTCCTGAGGTTCGGACACAGGTCCACCAGGGGTGAAACAAGCTGAGCCACGGTGGGAACAAGCTTGGCCGCAGGTGAAAGCTTCTGTCCTTGACTGGACTGTGTTGATTGGCTTTCAGTGCATTGATGATATCTGGAGATCTAACCGTTGGATTGCTTTGATTCCAAATGTGTTGGAAAGCTGGTTGTCTCCTATATAATGTTTCCAAAATTAGGGATGATCCGACGGTGAGAACGTCTTATTTGGTTGCCAAAATTCTGACGGCCTGAATTTATCCAAAAATGTACTTTTGCTCCAAAATGCACTCCAAAACTCCAAGTTTCCTGAAAGCCTTTCAAAACATATAAAAACATATAAAACCTTTAAAACTGAGTGAAAACACCTGCATAAGATACTGAAAGTGATCCATAGATATGGTCAAAATCAGGTGTTATTAGGCAGGAACTTGAATAGCTGATCTATTTGAAAGTTTGGTGAGGTGCATCAAAATCGGCAAGATGTCTATTGTGGGGCTGTCTTCTCGTAGGGTTGGCAAGTTGTATGGGTCGATTGGCTTCTCTACCATTATGTGGAACAATGTTTTTATCATTCCTTCTTTCTCATGGATCATCCCGATCTCTTTCCCATTGATCATCTGCGGCTTGAGCAGCATTTTCAGGAATTTGATTTCCCTCTTCATCGAGTTGTGGCTGGCCATCTGCTTCATGAATGGAATCAAGGTCATCATCTCCAATGTGATCATCTTGATCACAGTTTAAAATACCTTCCTGATGGGCATTCGGATTGGCCATTTTGAGCGTCCTTCGTCTGAGTTTTCGAAGTTCTCTTTCGTGTTTGTCCATCTCGTATAGTGGCAGTACAATAATGGCAGGATTTCTCCAAGTTTTCATGCACCTGAGAGCAAAAAAAAGTAAAGATGAAAAGAGAAGCTAGAAAATCTCCCGTAGAACTCAAAAATTTTGTGGTAAAGAACAGAATTTAGATTAAGAAATCAAATCAACAGCGACAAATCTCCGGCAACGGTGCAAAAACTTGATGTGTGTGTAGAGGAAAACACAAGTTTTACGCTAGATAAGCTGCAAGTGCACAACAAACGCAGTAGTACTTAGGGATCAAATCTAAATTGGGATTTGTGTGTTGAGGACTTCTAACTGAAGCTAAAAACTATCGTTGACCCCTAATCGAATAAAAATGGGTTTTGGTTTGTCACTAAATCTAGCTAAGCAGAGAATTAAAAAGCTTGAAATAAAAATCTCTGAAAACAATATTAAAAACGGCGCTGGGATTAGGGTTCATCTTTAGGGTTCGTGTTCTAAAACACAGGAAATTTAGGTAAGGATTTTCTATGACTCTGAAACTAGGATAGACAGTTATAAGATTAGCCAACTCTCGTCATCCTAATTGTCTAATTACTTAGACATGGCAATTAACTCTCGCTTTCATGCCAGAATAAGATCATGTGTTTCAGATCGGAATCCATCTCAACTTATGTATCCTCCGTCGCTAGATTTCGTCTCCTACGACACTGACTTCCATAAGATCAACTTCAGGCAACCCAGATACAACACTCTCGTGGCTCGGATTTAACCAAGGATAGTACTCTTGGTGATCAATCCAGAGTTATCGCTTTGAGATTTGGATGAATGGGAGAGTCATGCAAATATCAAAATCCTTTTTCCTAAAAACCTAGATGTCAGTCGAACATGAGATCCCTTTGGATTATCCTTTCACCCAACTCGTTGACAACTCATACATGGCTGAGTTAGACATCATCATCGGTTTGAGAACTAGAAAGCCGAAAAGTAAATAAACAAAAGTTGCAGAAATCTTCTTGTATTGAAGACACTGTATGGCGATGAAAATATTCTACAGATTCATAAAAATAAAACCTAAAACTACAAATGAGTTCTCTCTTAAAGAGAAGAAAGAGGCTCCTTTACAAAAGACCTAAAAATGAGTATTTTTAGTGTTTCTTCAAGTCTGGGCGTCTAGTGCATGTAAAATGGGTGCAGGAAGTATCTTGGGCCTTAGTTGGGCTCATGAGGTTTGGACATAGGTCCACCAGGGGTGAAACAAGCTGAGCCACGGTGGGAAGAAGCTTGGCCGCGGGTGAAAGCTTCTGTCCTTGAGTGGACTGTGTTGATTAACCTTCAGTGCATTGATGATATCTGGAAATCTAACCGTTGGATTGCTTTGTTTCCAAGTGTGTTGGAAAGCTGGTTGTCTCCTATAAAATGTTGCCAAAGTTGGGGATGATCAGACGGTGATAACGTCTTATTTGGTTGCCAAAATTCTGACGGCCTGAATTTATCCAAAAATGTACTTTTGGTCTAAAATGCACTCCAAAACTCCAAGTTTCCTGAAAAGTCTTTCAAAACTCCAAAACATATAAAACACTTATAAAACCTTTAAAACTGAGTGAAAACACCTGCATAAGATACTGAAAGTGATATATAAATATGGTCAAAATCAGGTGTCATCAGGCAGGAACTTGAATAGCTGATCTATTTGAAAGTGTTGGTGAGGTGCATCAAAATCGGCAATATGTCTATTTTGGGGCTGTCTTCTCGTAGGATTGCCAAGCTGTATGGGTCGATTGGCTTCTCTACCATTATGTGGAACAATCTTTTCATCATTCCTTCTTTCTCATGGATCGTCCTGATCTCTTCTCCATTGATCATCTGCGGCTTGAGCAGCATTTCCAGGGATTTGATTTCCCTCTTCATCGAGTTGTGGCTGGCCATCTGATTCATGATCAGCCTCTCGGTCATCATCGTGAATGGACTCATGATCATCATCTCCAATGTGATCACCTTGATGATAGTTTAAAAGATCTTCTTGATGGGAATTCGGATTAGCCATTTTGAGCGTCCTTCGTTTGAGTTTCCGAAGTTCTCTTTCGTGTTTGTCCATCTCGTCTAGGAGCGGTACAATGTTGGCAGGATTTCCTCTATTTTTCATGCACCTGAGAGTCAAGAAAGCAAAGCTGAAAAGAGAAGTTAGAAAATCTCCCGCAGAACTCGAAAGTCTTGTGGTCTAGAATTGAAACTAGATTAAAAAGATCAAATAATCACCGAGAAATCCCCGGCATGGTGC